TGGCATAAGAAATTAAATATCCTACTAAACCTGTCACAATTTTGAAGTTGTATTTGTGACACTGGTTAAGCATGTTTGTGAACACTAAAAATCCCAGTTATAGCACATAAAGCATAAATATAAACTCATTCCTTCAATGTCTGTTGTCCAAGTTCTGTGTTTGGATAACTGAAAGACTGAAAAACAAATCCAGCAATGCGGGAAAAAAAATATCTGTAACTTATATTTACTAGTAAAAGTGAACTGCATTAGAGCACATATTAGGAACAAAAGATTACAAGGAGGGATTAAACAGACATTTAAGACTTAGAGAAGTGGAGGCGTAAACCAACTCTGGAGTATAAAACTGCAGGAACAGAGGCAACACAAAGGCAAAACTGTAACAGGAAAGCAAAGAAAAAGACAAGGAACTGAAAAGAGAATATGGATACTTAAGAAGTAGCAGAATATGGAATAAACAGAGAAATTATAGTATCATCACTTTTGCAGGGCAAGTAAAATCGTATTTTAAGAGCTAGGAAGTTCCAAAAGCTACTGAGACAGTCTCTGCCACTTGTTCTAACACACAAGGGGATAAAAAACCCCAAACTTAGGAAACCAGGTCACCAGGAATTAAGATGCCTGCTTGTAACAGTTTGGGTTAATGTATTACATGATCCAAAATTGCTTGGAGGTTTTGGCACCTTAAAGATAAATCAGTATCTGAAATGGAGTTCCTCTAGACTAAGTGAGTAAATGATGGCAACAGTTAAAGTAAAATAGCTTTACATATAAGTGCTAATTTTATCACACTGTCTTCTTATCCCATATATAACTGACGAGCAATGAAAGTGTAAAATGTGGTTTCCTTCCTAAATCTTTAAATTAAATACTCTCAACAGGCAAAATTTTGAAGTGCACATCAGTTTGTAAAAAAAAAAACCAAACCACCCAAAAAATAAAAACAAACACCTTCAGTAACTACTGTTTTCAACATGCTACTAATAACAATAACCCAGTCACAATAAAAATATGTGTAACAGTGAGCAGTGGCTGTGCAAAGTGATCAAGACAAGAAGGATTTTTTAGATGGAAAACAAGGTAATCTTCAATAGCAGAATTAAAAGTGGATTTATCTGTGCAATTAGATTTGTGTTTCTAAAGCACAGGGGTAAGCCCTTGCAAAAGGTTGTAAAATGTGGATCCTGAAACAGAAGCACAGCTGGACAGAACAGACCAATGCACTCCATCCAGTTCAAATTTCATTCAGGTAACTCCTGTCTCTCTAATTAAAAAGTCTTCCCTAAAACTACATCAGACATAGCTTCAAGAAAACATGTATTCACAGATTTTCAAATGCTTACAAAGGGCACTGCCTTACACAAAACCTCCTCCCTGACTACATTTATGACAGTTTTCCTTACCTTTAAAAATAACAGAAACGATAGGATCTGGTTTCCCAAACTTGGTTTTAGGGATATTGGTAGCAGATTCCACAATTACCCGAAGCATTGTTTCCCGTCTTGCCTAAATGTCGACTGTTACAAAATAAATTCAAGGAAGTCTTCAGTTTCACACTCCTTAACTTCTGGACTGAAATGCTAGCAGGAAGAGGAGGCAGGGAATTGCTGGTTTACACTAAGGAAGGTCTATGGGTGGATCTATGACGGACTAGCTACTCAATCTAGGAAAAAAAAAGTCCTGTAAATTGACACCAAATTCTGTCTTGCTGCGCAAAAAACAGCTCTCGCTAATGAAATCCTGTAACAGAAAGGACACAGTGCAAAAACGAGTGCAGATTTATTTTGGAGGGTTTTTGGTTGCTTTTATTCTGAAGCTGTGTGATAAATCTCTAGTAAGTAACTAAGGCAAGAGTAAGCATTAAGCAACATCAACATGAAACATTAAACACGACTCTAGTACTCAAGAAATATGAAATCTTCATCTTGCTATACCAAGGTATGAAATTTCACGATGGCTTATATTTTTTTCCCGTCTTAATCTGCAGAACTTCATTGTTTGCAAATGCTCTTGGCTTGCCTCCGTGACAGCCTACAGTCACAAACTAGCGACGGTCCCCAAAACCAGTGTAAGTTCTCCCCCTCCCGTTGCGTTCTGGAACAACGACGTGTTGCACAGTAAGTGCTGCAGCTTCGTCACGGAGCACGCTGGATTTAGTAGATATATTGAGAAATTATGAATATATATATGCATAACTAAAAATGGAAAATAATTAAGAAAATGCGTACCAAAACAAACAAACAAACAAACAAACAACAAACCACCACAACAAAAAAAAACCCACAACAGCAAAAAAACCCACAAAAACAAAGAAAAACAACCAACTAACTAACCAAAAAGGTGGTATGACCCTCTGTATTGTTTGGAGGCATATGTTTTGTCTTAACATAAACATACGCAGTAACAAGGTAAAACTTACATGGACAGGCACAACAGCTCCCAGCTCCCCCGAGCTCAGCGTTACAGCAAGTTTTTCTCAGCTGTGGAACAGATGTTAAAGCCCGAGAAGTGCACGCTGCCACTGCAACACGTGTGCCAAGCAGAGATGAGGGGGGAAAACAGCAAGATGAGTCACATGTAAGCACACTTCAGCCTAGTTCTTATACGATCATAGAGAACCATCCCACCTTATTTTGGAATTTCTAAAATTATTAGATTTTGGGTAGATTTGGAGAACTTCAGGAAGAGAAAAAAAAGTAATCTGAAGCACACGTGTTCAGGGAGGGACGAGGATAGAGACACGTGCGGGACAGCACCGAGAGGCACCCGTTCCCCGCTCAGCCATCGCGGCCCCAGCCAGGCCAGCGCCGCGGCGGAGGGTGGGGACAGGCACCGCCGGCAAGCGACACGAGAGGGCAGCACCGCCCGTCCCTCCACACCGGCCTACCGTGACGAACTCCAAACCCCCGGAACTGACGGGCCGGAGCCGCGGGATTCAAACTCCCGGAAGCGGCGCCGGGTCGGGGCCGGACGGGCTGTGGTTTGGGGTGCTCGGGCCCCGTCCCGTCCCACGGAGCGAGAGCCGGCAGCAGGATCCGGGAAGCGCTGCGCTTGACTCCAGCTGTCGGAAGCCATGTCCTGCCCGCTAGAAGGGATCGCTGTTCCGTGACGCCGCGTTTGGGTTTTACGGGCGCCGAAAGATGAACCCCAAGACCGCCAAAGATCGTATTATGGGCAAGTGGGGCTTAAAGTCGAGCAGCTCCAGAGCTGAGAGTGGGCTGGAGAAGGGTAAACAGGAGAGCGCTGGGCTGAGGAATCATCCCACGGAGGAAGCCGCCCCTGGGAGCGGCGGGATGGCGGAGGCGGAGAGGAGCGGGCTCCTCCAGGTGAGCGGGGCTGAGCCCAGCCGGCCGTGCCGTGTCAGGGCCTCCGGGCCTGCCCGACCCGGGAGCGAGAGCCCCACCTTTCCTCTCGAAACTTCGCTTACTTTGATGTCGCTGCTGGTTTAGTACTGTTAGACAGTTTAGACAAACTTTTAGTTTGACATTCTCATGTACTTTTCAGAGATGACTGAACTAATAAAATGACAGTCATCTGACAAGGCTGCTAAATACAAAGACTTGAGGCCAGAGGTGCCAATTAGTCCATTAGGACCTGTCCTCTCGTGTCCAACAGGTCTCAGAGAATTATTTGAAGCACTTCCTGCAAAGAATATTATGTTTGCAAACATTTGTCTAAGAACATGCCAAAAAGTGCTGAGTGTTTGCCTGAACTGAATTGTCAAGCTCCCACTCAGCTATAGGTAAATAAAACTGTAATCAGGTCCCTACATTATTCTTCCACTGCAACCAAAGAGCAGAAACTAAGACTGCAAATTCCATCCAAGGTAAACCTGTGGTTGCAAAGAGAGAAGTTCAAGACTTAATATGTGACCAAGTCACATACTGTCAGGCTTCCCAGAAGGACTGCAAAACTTTAAGTAGACTCTTTCAAAGGATACAGCTAATGGAGACTAGGCACACTAATATTTCTAGGCCATTTCTTTTGGAAAAAAGGCTTTGCTTGTGTCTGTGCCACAATGTCAGTTGAGAAATCCTAAGCCAAGGATCAGCTATGCCTGGGCAGCTCATGTACAGTTGTGGCTAAATTCCTTAGTGTATTTGCTGTGTCTGTTAGCATTTGCTGCTTGCTCAATGTTGGTTACTTAATAGTGGGTTCCTAGTTTTCAGGTGGAAAATCACCCCCATTGGTGTCAATATTTTAATTTTAGTGAGCACTCTATGGTGTTCAACCACTCCCTAAATGAGGCTCTCTAAAATTCAGTTTGTTTCAGTTTCTTTGTCATCTTCTAATGACTTCTCAACATGTAGGATTTCAACATCGGCCTTTCTCACCAAAAATTAAATGCTCTCACATCAGAAGTTCGTGGAAAGCCCCAAGGTATCTTAAATGCAGTACTAATTCTGTGTAATAATTACCTGTGCTGGAGGCCTACTCAAAAGAGAGTGCCTGTTGAAAATACCTACTAAAGCACATTTTGAAGCTAAAGGGCCACATAATTTGGAAAATGGGATCCTTCTCCTGAATGCTTTATTATAACTCTTTTGTAACCTCACTCTCATGTAGTTTGCAAGAAGGCTCTACTGCTTCCCAAAAGCTACTAAATATGCTGAGAAATAAGCTAAGAAATGTATCACCAATGTCTTTACTGGAAGTTTTTTGAAGTTCTTATACTGCCTGTGTTTGAAGGTTCATATACTGTACTGATCTGTATTCATATAGAAAACTGAGTACCTACCAAGCCTGTGAAATTTGGTTCTTTGCATTCTTTCCCTGTTTCATCTACTTCAGACTCATTTTGCTATCACTTGAAATATTCCAGGTGATTGTGCTAGTATTGTCTGTTTTGAGTAAAAATAATATTCTTAGCTAATTAAAGGCTAAGAGAGAATCTTTGAAAGTGAATATCATAGAATCATAGAATGGGTTGGGTTGGAAGGACCTTAAAGATCATCTAGTTCCAACCTCCCTGACACCGTCCACTAGACTTTGTTGCTCGGATCACTCAAACTATTGTAAACTTGCTAATGCATTTGTTGCATAGACTAAATTACTCACTTGTGTCACTTTTTTATTCTGTTTCATTTAGAAAATACATTCCCTTGAAAAAGAAAAAGAAAAACACAACCATCTTGTTGGAGAGAAAGACAGGGAAATCCAAAACCTGAAAGACAAGCTTAAGTCCAAAACCAATAATAGTGAAGTCTCCTTACTACGAAATCAACTAGAGGAAAAAACAAAGGAAGCAGAAAGGAGAGAACAGTTACTTTGTTCTCTATCAGAAGAAATTAACCGGTTAAAATGTAATTTATCTGCCGTCATGGCAAAATGTTCTGATCTCGAGAACAAAGCCAGTAGCACTTCTCAGGCATCCCAGGTAAGCACTAAAGAAATGCTGTAATTGCAAATTGGAATTTGTGCCCACTAAGCACCAATACTTGTTATAAACTAGGATGGGGTTTTAATTTTCTTGTAAGCTGCATTGCATTCTGAAATATTCTTGTATGTAGAGAGATGATATCCAGATTGAATGCAAAATGAAGAACAGTCAGGGAGCACAACTTCAGGCAACACAGCTGGGGAGGGTATTCTCTCATGCTGTACTGCAAGGTCCCTTATGCAAGCTCACATGGCTACTGTGACTAGTGATACTACATGTAATGATCCCTGTTGATTAAGCAGATACTATGCCCTTCTTGGATTTGTGTACTCAATGATTAGACAGGCTGAGAAGGCAGCAGCAGTAGAGATGTGGGGCACTAATAAAGACACACTAAGATCCTCACCTAATTCAGCTTCAGTCATGAGAATATCTTTTTCCTCTCTGTTCTTATAAATCCTCATTTGTGTCTCAGTTGTTAAAACTAATTGTCTGTACTTTCTATGGCATCACACACAGTAAATACTTCACTGAGACACGAGGTAGGACAGGAATAATGAGTTTCTCCTCTCATCCTAAGTGGTCAGTAGGTATAGTGCCAATCCTTGGCAGCGTTTACAAGTGCGTTTAATATACTAGTTGTTTTTTACAACCCTCCCTGTTCTAATGTTCCATGGAAAATGCAGTAGTATCTCAATGTGGGGCACAGGGAAGTTTGCTCCTAATAGTAAGTGCCTTTCTTTTCCAGCTTTTGACCTATAGATGGTGCTGGTTCCCTGTGCTCTACAAGGAACTTAGAAATTCTGCTTTAGGCAAATACATAGCAAAATATCTTAATCTATCACTTTTGAATATGTATCACTTCTAAATGAAGTATATTAGTAAATACCACTTTAAATGCAATATATTTATTTTCAATTTTAAGAGACTTTGAACTGTGTTAGTTAATTTAAAATGTATGTAAAGTCAACAGATTTTCAGGATATTTTTGACAATAAACTACAAAAATACCTATTACTCTAAAACCATAATTTTCTTTTAAAATCTTAACTGATCTATCAACAGAGGACAACAAATATGACTGATGTTTTGACTGGATGTCATGGAAAACTTGAAAACAAGTCTAGCAATGCTGCTTGAAACTGCTAGGTGGCATGTTAGCTCTGAAATAGAAACAACAGTTGTATGACACAGTTTTCACTGAGCAGGATTCTAACGTTCATATAAATAATTGTAGTGTCTTTAAATCCTATTTTTTGTTAGGAAGTGCTGAAGTTTAATGATTGCATTCAAAGCTCCTCTGTATTTTTCAGTTATAAAATTTGTTGTAAATCATGTTGCAAAACCCATAGGTAAACATTGGAAAAATGTAGTTTGGATTTGGGTAGCAATCTATTTTTTTCTTATTGAAGTTCTCTCCGACTTACATCTACACAATTTCATAAATTCATTCTGTCATGCAGAGAATAAACATGTCAGATTATGGAAGAAATATAACTGTTTACCTGCTCTCTAGATTTAAATGGGTCTCAAGAACTCTCCGAGTCATACTTCAAGCACTGTACTCTGGATCAGGTCTCAAAAAATCAGCCAGTTTGTCCTTATTGTTCCGGATAGGCTTGCACGACTTCCCAGATGTTAACAATCTTCCTGTTGTCCTAGTGAAGCTGTCGAGGTCTCTGTAGCTTTCCCCCAATAACTCCTGTAGGTCTGGCTTATTGTCAAACGTATAAGGATATGAAAATAGAACAACCACCTTTTTTTCTGTACTTAAATAATATCTTAAATATCTTGATTTTTCAAAAGCTCTTTGGAGAACACCCTTCAGGTCTTCCAAGAGAGCAGTTCAACAGAAAACACATGATGGTCTTCTTAGGAAATGTTCTAATGTCACTATGAGTTGCAGAGTTATGGAATAAATAAAATGTAAATCTTTCTCCCATCTCTTGCAGAACAGTCTGTTTTAAATATATGAAATGGTTTTCTACATAACTTAGATCCTTTAAGAAAGAAAAGAACAACCAACTCTAAAGATCTTTAAACACAAAAGGCACATGTATTTATGTGAAATTAATAGTTATATAGAATTAGCTTTGCTCTTTCAGCCATCTGTTTTAAACAACACTAACAGGTTGTCCTTTGTCTGCAGGAAGCTGTAACAAACAGCGCTGAAGTTGAAAGACAATTGAAAGATGTAAGTTTCCTGTACAGCGTTGCAAGTGCATATAATCTGTATTGTGATGCATAAGAATGTAAATTATCATCGTATACATTTTTGGTAGTATGGAACCTCAGGGGGTATATTTCCTTCCAAAATATAGTATCTAAAATTATTTTGTGATAAGACAATAATTTAAATTGAAAAAACCAAAACCTTGCAAAATAAAAAAATTGAGATAAGATTTCCACCATCTTTGAAAAACCTTGCTTAGAACATCAGAACA